CAGTCCTGGGGGGTGTTGTAAGGGGGGGGGGGGGGGGCCCACGCTGTTTTAAAAAAATGATTATTATTTCTATTATTTCTGTGAACAGTTAAAAACTTTTGTGCATTCTGTGACAGCTGTCAGATTCTTTACATTCGGGATGAAGTGTCCTCAAAGAAGCAGAAGCTGTTACAGAATAACAGATCTGTCAGTTTCTTTCATTATTTACATTTTGGAACAATATTGTGTTATTTTGTTTTCATGTGAGATACAAGTGCAGAGAAGCTAGAGAGCGGTAAATGACAGCTCTCCCGCTTGTTGTGTTAAGTTTCCAAATGAAATTCGGATGTATCCGAATTTCATTATCAAACATTCTGATTCGTTCAGATTTGTTATTTCTGTCAGTCAGAAATTCGGATGCATTTCAATTCAATGTGAAACGAATGACACAGGCCAAATGAAAGCCAGTCTGTGGTGGTGGACAAGAAACACCAACCTCTCCAGGGCTAGCACGCTGGGTCCCACTACCTGGATTGTCTTAAACACGGATGCCAGTCACCTCGGTTGGGGTGCGGTGTCTGGGGAGATGATGGTCCAAGGGAGGTGGACATTCCTGGCAGAGGCCTGTCCATCTAATGTTCTGGAGATCAGAGCAGCATGGGTGGAATTGAAGAACCTGGCACAACAAATTTGCCACAATTTGATGATGTTACAAATGGAAAACCGGGCGGCAGTTGCCTACATACAAAATCAAGGTGGCACCTGCAGTCTCAGTTTGACAAAAGAGGTAGATCCGATCATGACATGGGCAGAAGCCAACTTATCTCAGCTGAGAGCGACATACATTCCGAGGTGGAGAAACACTTAGGCGGATTATCTTTCCCATCATTTCACAACCAACAATGAATGGGATTTGAATCGCACCCTGTTGCACTAAATATACGAGAAGTGGGGGAGACCACAAATAGATATCTTTGCAACACCAGAGAACACCAATGTAACACAGTTTTGTGCAAAATATCAGTGCAAAGAGGCTGTCGGGATAGATGCGCTAGCTCAACCATGGACATTCGATCTGGGGTTTGCATTCCTTCCAACACCACTGATATTGAGGTTTCTCCAACGTCTAATGGGGAGAAGGTGACAGTGCTGGCAGTCCTACCCTATTGGCCAAAGAGACCAGGGTTCACGCTCCTCTCTCTCTACTAGCAGTCAAAGATCTGCTGGAGCTAATGATAACTCCAAGGTTTTTCATGCTGGGACAATTTGAAAATCCCAGGCCAGAAACACTAAATTTGAAGGCATAGAAGCTGAGAGACGGAGTCTTGAAACCATAAGGTGTTCATCTAACATCATCTCAACACTTCTGGTGTCAAGAAAGAGTAGCACAAGCACCACTTATTACAAGGTTTGGCAGAAATTCCAGGATTTCGCAGTTGTGAAAGATTTTGATGGACAACTACTTCAGTTAAACAACATCTTGGATTTTCTGCAGTCCGGATTCGACTTAGGGCTGAGTTTAAACAACCTCAAAGTACTTTTTTTTTTGAGACGAGTATTGAGGCTACGCCCACCAAAAAAGAATATCTATCCACAGTGGGACTTAACGCTAGGATTGAGTCACTTAACTCTTTCACCAATAGAAGAGTTTCTTTATTGAATATTACACAAAAAAAGTGTTCTTGGTGGCGATCACATTAGCCAAAGTCTTAGAGATTCATGCGTTGGGCTCCGAATAACCTTATCTGACATTTTTTCCGGACAGAGTGGTCCTGAGGCCAATTCACAAATTTGTGTCGAAGGTACCGACACTAATAGGCTCTTCGCATCCCGAGGGGAATCAGGAAAAGTCATCTGGCTTCTTCCAGATCTATTGCCAATTGGATTACAACCTGAATCAGACAGGCGTACAGGGCTGATGGCAAATCACCTCCAGGGACGGTGATGGCACATTCCTCCAGGAGTTTAGCAGCTTCATGGGCATCCTTTGCGAGGGTGTCACCTGAAACTGTCTGTAGAGCAGCTACATGGTCAACCTTTTCAACATTTCTTCATCATTATAGTGTGGATCCAGCTGCTCTAACATACAGAGAATTTGGGGAGAGAATACTGCATTCTTCCATGTGTAAATAAATGATTCAGAATACTTACTCTTCTGTAATTTTCTTTTTTCCTGGTACCTCCACATGGCAGCATACTTGTTTCCCGCCCAGTCTTGTTCTAGTTACAGGGATGTGTGAGCAAGAGGGTGTGGAAAATGTATAGGGTTGGTTGGGGGCGGGGAACCAAATGTATCCTGGAGGTTGGTTGGGGGCGGGGAACCAATCATATGTATGGTGCCGTCTGGCGGCACCAGGAAAAGAAAATTACGGAAAGTCAAGTATTCAATTTTCTGTTTGAAGGCTTGTTCACACCTAAAGCGTTCCAGAGCGGTAGCTGCTGGAATGCACACGCTTTCGGTGTGAACAAGGCCTGAGTGCTGCATAATTTTTCAGTTCTATATAAATACATGCAATAAATAGTGTTTTTTTAGGATGACCCCTAAGTAACATGTCCCATCAGGATATACTATACCCTCTTCAAATGTTTTAATATGGAGTATGTTTAAACATGTGTGTACTGCTAGGTAAAATATTCTTTTTTTTACAGAACAATGTATAATATAGTTAGTATTATTCTAAAAAAAATTTTTTTTAAATAAATTACCTGATCTATTGTTAGGTGACATGCGAACTGGAGAAATAGATGGTGTCCTGGAGGAAGAATATGGTCTTTGCCGATCTCTTTCAATGGTTGATGATGATGCTACAAATTGGTACTGGGACCATCCATCCTGAAAAATTAAAGTCAAATTATTTTTAGATAGAGCCCACAGTACACCATGTGTATATGTACATGTGTGTATATACACTATATATATATATATATATACACAAAACATTTTTACTTTATACATTATATAATTATCCTTTACTGGCATTTCTTCCATGTCAGCCTACTATGGGTCAGCTCTACCCTCCTGACCCTCTCAGGACAGTCTTTAACTAGCTAATAAAAGAGAGTCATCCCTATACCTTCCCTGTTCCATCAACTTCCAAGAACTTGCAACTGCCTCAAAAAAAAAAAAAAGAAGAGGTGGAGCATGGCTGATATGAGGGGGTACCAGGAAAGGAAAAATATAGTAACTATAAGGTAACAATTTTCCATATTGTTGGCCCTCCTCATGTCAGCCTAATATAGGTTGTGCTAGCAAAGTTACTAAGTTACACAACAATCACTAAAAATTATTTAATTAGAAAGTGCATCAGAAATGGCCCAAGGTCCCCAGAGAATCAGCAAAACCAAATCTGATGCCCAACTTACAGTATAGGGGTGAAGGAAAGTGTTGGGTGTACTTCAACTCACCATCCTACAGATCATCTCCACTGGGACCTTGGCATACCTTGCCCACAAAACCGATATTCCACTTGTGAAGTGAGTCCAAATTTCTTAAGGGAGGATAAATACCCACAGACCTGTAGGACAGCTGGATGGTTTTCACTATCACTTTCACAAGTTGAGATGATTCTCGGGGGAGCCACTGCACCTTTTTTGAGTCTGAGGGAAACAAATTCTCATCTTGCCTGAAAGACAATAACTCCAAGTACATCGAAGGCTGTGAACAAGATTCAGCTTAGACCATTTATTTTCATCTTCCAGCAGTTCTGATGGGTTAAAGGCTGACAGCTCTGTCTCCTAGTTGACATGGAAAGGGGATGACACTTTAGGCAAGAAGGTGGGAAATGGCATCCATATTATCTTATTAGGAAGTCTCTTTCACTGAAGAGGCAGGCAGCTCCAAGACTTACCTCACCGAGCTGACAATGGCTAGGAAGATGGTTCCTAATGTCAGAGCCACATGGCACAAGACCCAACTGGATTAAAGGGAGGAACCAATAATGCCTGCAGGACCACAGTTAAGTCCCCCTTGGGAAATAGAGGTAATCTTGGAGACTAAATCTTTGCTTCCACTTTCATAAACTGCATAACTACAGACTGGATTGATCACTTAGAGACAGTTATTGCAGACAAAGCTGAGAGATAAACCTAGGTATTGTAGCTGAACCCTATTTACTAAAGGCGCGAGAAGTGGAATTCTATTCACGGCATCAAAGGTCACAAACGTCTCTGAGACCGGCTTAGCACAAGTTCGTTGAGGGCTTCCTCATCTTTAATACGGTTTCAATAACTTTCTCGGACATCTGTGGATGTTTAGGTGGTGCCACTCAACATCCAGGCCATGAGGTTCAAACATTCCTGTCCATCAGTTAGCTCTCTCCCAGGGACAGCTTCATGCACCACAGCAGGGGAAACCAAGGCCTCATCGGTCAAAATGGAAAGAACACTATCGCCAGTACCCCTTCAGCTAAATTTTCAGCAGTACCCAGAGGATGAGGCAAAATGGAGGGAGCAACACTTCATCTCTGTGAGACACTAGCTGATGACCGAAACTTGCCAAGAGAAGTATATCATCCAAATAGTGAAAGAGCCAAAACCCCAAGTCAGAAGAAGAACAATCATTGATAAAAAAAACTTTGAGAATGTGCACAGCCGGAAGGAGCAGATAGTCAAATTTGTAGTGAGAAACACCCATCACCGACTGGCGAAACCACTGGTGGCCAGGAAAAATAGAGACATGCAAGTAAGCAGATCTATAGAGGCCATTCAATGCCCGTCATTTCCAATGATTCCATCCTGAAGGGTGGTGCTTTCACAAAGGAATTGAGGAACATCAGTTCTACAGTCTGTCTATATTTTTCTGCAGATTTCTTCACCATAAAGATAGGGTAATAGACACCCAAATGTTTTTATCAAACTGGTACTAGCATATTGGCCTGCAACTGCAATAATTCTTGGCACATAACAGAATGCACTGCAGCTTGTTCTGGGGCACAGGCAGGTGAGTGGTGGGAAAGTGCAAATGAAGTGGAATGCTGCTGAATCCTATCTGGTAGCCGCAGCTATGGGCACACTTTGAGAACTGTTTGTTCATAGCTTTGCAACCCTGGAAACTTTGGACTTGTTGGGTTTAGCATACAAGGGCTGACCTGAATGCCAAGTGGTTTGGAAGAACTCCATTCCTAGTTGGTATGATCTGGTGTCTCTAAATCTGTCCCTGGCTGCCTTCTTGGTCTGAAAGGGCTGAGACTATCTCTTCCATCTTTCAATGGCATAAGGCCAGATTTACTCCTGGGGACAGGGGTCTTTGATTTCAGACATTAAAAGAAATGATGACAGAGTATTTTCCAGAGTTAAAGAAGGAGTTCTTTAACTCTGGAAAATACTCCCAAAGCTTTTTAGAGGAAGAGATGTCTTCTTCCCAGTCTATGGTTTAACTGCCTTAACATTTAGCAAATTCAAAGCAGTACTCACTCTCTCCCTGCTTTAACTGTGAATTTTCAGATGATGAATCAGATTTTCTGGAAACCGGCGACAGAATCACTTCCTTATTTGAGGAATCTAAAACACTCTTTCTGCATGTTGACAATTTATTGTGTTAATATTCTCTCATGTTTTCTACTACTGACTGGCGGATAAAGGATTGCACTTCGCATGCTTCTGCTTCTTTACCCCGTAATAACTCTTGTAGGCATCCTCCACAGACTAACTTCCCTGACAGGGAAGTCAATCCACAGACGGTTAAAAGAAGACGAACCATTGCTGGCTGATGAAGTATAAATATACCTCCCCATTAGCATGTCCAGCAGCAGAACATCAGGTTAATCTAGCCAACTGATGAATTCTAACACCCCCATACAGAGTAGCCAATGAGGAGAGGCGACTGGCTGCCTAGCAACTGCATGCCAGCCAGGCAGCTGGAATCCCCAATTTAGTAAGGCAGCAATGGTGCCATATTCCAGGGGTAAAGCCACTGCTGCACCTGGCTGGGAAACATCTGGTTGCACCAGAGGACATAGGCCACAGTGAGAGCCCAATTTGCCAGAGGGGAGGAAAGTGACTAAATATAAAGGTAAAGGGCCCAGACAGAAAGACACAGAGCAAGAAAACAGAGGGGAGGTGAGTGAAGTACCCTGGACAGAGAACCTTACTAGCAATGTATGTCAAGTACTACAAAGCCCAGTACCTGGGGTGCCCTCCTTATAGACAGATTTACTGTTTAACCCCTTAAGGACCAAGTCCTTTTCTTAATTTTTGGTTACGTGTTATAATCCACATTTTAGGCAAGAAATTACTGCAAACCCCCAAACATTATATATTTTCTGAAAGCCAAGACCCTGTAGATAAAATGGTGGCAGTTGCAAACTTTTATGTTAGTGCAACTTATTATCAAACCCCCAAATATAGTGAAAAATGCACTTAAATTAAATTTAGTGCCCCAATACACAATACAAAAAAGTTTTTTAACCATCCGCTGATCGTTGAAAAAGACAGCCGGACGGGAGTCTCCTGGATGCGGGTGGGTCTTTAGAAGTCCTTCATGCCCGCGTCCACTCGTGCGCGCCCCCTGGCGCGGATGAGCGGGAAAGCGCCTGGATTTTAAATGGCCAGCGTCTGTGAAGACGCCCAATCGCTTGTATGATGGAAGTGAAGGTGCGCCCCCCCCTTACCTCTGGTCGCTATCCCTGCCGCCGCGATCCTGGGCGTCCCTCCATCCCGGGTGATGTGGCTCTGTGCAGATCAGTACCCGATCTCCCTGTGATCTCCTCCCCAGTGGTGATTACATATCACCAAAAAAAAGCTCTATCTGTCCCCAAAAAATTGTATAAAAATAATTTCAGTACAACGTTGCATGACGGAATAAACGTCAGCCAAAGTACCGCAGCGCTGAATACTGAAAAATGGCCGGGACAGGAAGGGGGTGTAAACACCCCGGTCAGCAAGTGGTTAAATAAAATATGAAAGATGAGGTTACAAGTAAATAAATACCCAATTAGTTAAAGACCCAGTTATAGTTAAAAATTGTGTGCATCCGTGAAACTGCGACAACATTCAGTACCCCAAAAAGCCCATAGATGATGCTTAAAAAGCCCCTACAGGTCATCAGTTTAGAAATATGTGTAAATATTGGCCCTGGAATTATTGCTCTCACCCTGGTGTGCACGGTAATACCCAACATGGGTAGCGCGATCGTCGTTTTCGTACATAGGCGCAACCGATGCGTGTTTACATGAAGAATCGTGTGCTCGCGGGCAAGTGAACATTTTTTAAATTCATTTTATATTAAACAAAATTGAAAGTTTTTTTTAACTTTACTTTAATTGCTATCACATAGGAGGGGTTTTTAAAGCCCCCCATGTGAAAGGATATTGGCAGTGACAGGTCGTCTTTAAGGTGATACTGGGGGTCCAAAAGACATCACTTCAGGTCCCATGGACGGTATATTTCCCCACTATTTAGATCATGGTCCCTTTAAGGGGATGAAGGGAAAAAAAAGGGTTTGTCAGAAGTTCTCACCAATGCAGGGTGAGGGGTTCCGGGGTGATTTTTAGAAGGGAAACTGCTATGCAGTCTTCCCTGGATTGGCAGTCCTGAAATGGGACCCGGCATCCGGAGGCCCGGAGAGATATTGGGTGGGAAAGAGCCTCCAGCTCTGACTAGAGGCATTCAGGCCTGGTAAGGGTTAACCCACTTGCTGGGAATGTTCAAAGTGCACAGGAAGCCACAGTGCCTGTGAGGTGTGTTTGGAGCAGGACAAAGCTGAGTATGGACTGTGGAGCTATGGTCTGTCAGCTACTGCTGGGCATCAGTGTCTGTGTTTGAACCCTTCGAGAGCAGGATGGGATGCTTACCCTGAGAAGGGATGTATGTATACAGGCGGTGAGCCGGACTTTC